TAAAAGAGAAGACCTAAAGTCTAGCATTGTCAATACAAAATGACAATTAGAGTCTCAAAAGCGATTACTTCTATGGTTTCACTGAATTTTTGCAATCTTAGTTCTCTGGACACAACTTTAGTACTTTAGCAGTACAATGGCAATTCATTATTTATCAAGCTTGTGATTGCTTTGTTCATCTATTTTTCTGCTTCATTGAGACAAAGATTCATTAGTGTCTGAATGGGCAGTCAAGCCAAGGGATCTTCTCTGTTATCAATTTGAGCCCCAAACACAAGAGTTGTTCATCAGTTGTATAGGAAAGCATTTGTCAAGCTTCACTGTAAACAGACATAACCTGGAGATCTTGACACAAAATATAATCAGATTTAGTAGATGAGGGTTAGGGTCTGAAATTCTGGATTTTCAACAAACTCCTACTTGATGCCAATGCTGCTGATTTATCCAGTCAGATTCACAGTGTGTATAATTATGAGTCCAGTCCATTTCAATAACTCCTTATGTACTAATTTTTCAATAAGGGTTTAAAATTTAATCTAACTTTTATCCTTTCCATCCTTCTGGCAAATCTATAGTTCAGGCCCTCCATTTCTTTGGATACTTAATCTCTGAGTATTTTGTAATTCTCAGTGTACAAGTTTTCTATTTCCTTAGTTAAACTAATTCCTAAGAATTTTATTGTTTTTGATGCTATTATAAATGGAATTGTGAATTTCTCTTCCTGACAGTTTGTTGTCAGTATATAGAAATGCAACTGATTCTTGTATATTGATGATATATTCTGTAAGTTTGTAAATTCTAACAGTTTGGGGTGGAGTCTTTAGGGTTTAGAATCTTTGTGATTGTTGAATCTGTTGTCTTTGTTCTAGTAATTGAGGGTATAACCACACCTTTCAGTGTCCCAAAGGGGAGGACAGCATTGAGCACCTAGATTGTGGCTAATTAGAAACTAGACCTTGGCAGCAGCTGGGAAAGCAGGTAATCAGAGCTGTTCCAGAGAGAAAAGGGAGACGGGCTTTTTTCTTACTCCTTTTGTGAGGCACATAAGAGCCTGGGAACATGGCCATGGAGAAGCTCTGTGCACATTTAAAGACAGCTTGTTTGTTTACTATAGACCTTTTTGGTTTTAGGGGCTAGCTAGGTATTTGGGGGGTGGCTGTAGGAACCTTAAAAGTTGGGACACACTAGACATGAGGTCCAAACAAATGCTCTTATCTATTTTGGTTGTATTTCACCCCCTTTTCTTGAATAAAATTTTGCTGTTTAGGGCCCTCCCTGGTGGCGCAGTGGGTTAAAGCACAGCACTAAGAAGCTAAAGCCACTTCCGCATGAGTTCGATCCCGCCTGCCCCGGAGGTGACCACATGGTGTGGCAGACCTCTCCTGACCCGCCCGCTGCTCCCCTCAGCAGTGTACTTCGTGGATCTGCCTGTTCTGCACCCCACTCTGTCTCTGGTGAATCCTCTCACCCTCTGCATCTCTGACCTGTACCCCAGTTCTGTACTAATAAAAAGAAAATTTGCTGTTTAAAGATCTAATGATAGATGGTTTTCTCTTGTAAGGAAAGGAACAAAAAAGTTGAAGCATTATATATGTTATTCAAATTACATGAAGAAAAGGACATTTGTCCCTTGGTCTATACAATCCCATTTTCTTAAGCAACCATCATAGGTGTTTTCAGCAGATTTCAAAAGAAGAGTATTTGATAATATAAGAAATCACAATTAGTATTGATTATCAAGCATGAGTAAATAGAAAATGAATATTAAAATAGAAGTCCCAAGAAAACTATATTAATAATAACAATAAAGATGAAAACATTAAGCAGTCTAGTCAAAAGGTAAAGGCTTCTTTTAAAGACTAAATTTAAATACATCAAGCTACAATTATGTGCAGTGATATGATTCCATTTATACGAAATGTCCAGAATAGGCAAATCTATAGGCACAGAATGTAAATTAATCATTGCCCATGCATTAGGAATGATGGCTGTAGAGTGCCTTGTGGGGTGATGAAATGTTCTAAAATTGATTATGGCCATGAAATCACAACTGGAAATATACTTAAAGTCTTTGAGTGTTCCACTTTAAGTGGATGAATTATATATGCTAGTTATATCTCAATAAAGTCGTAAAAAAAAACAACAGAGCTAATACATGAGAAGCCAGATTTCTTTCTTAAAAACAATGTAATTTGTTACTACAAAACTAAGTTTTGTTTAGGCATGTTACACATCTATTCTCCTTAATATAGTCAAGACTCAAGGTGGCTTAAAATTAATTGGATCCTTTATGTTCATACAAAAATAAAATGCTAAAGAATGGCAATAAGTATTCAAACCAAAGTGAATGAGATGAGCAAGGCTAATTTAATGAACTACCATCATCATCAATTTTGAAAATGAAGATTTGCCTATGATTATCTTTCCACTAAGCTTAGCAGGTCTTTTCTGCCTATTTGTTCTTTCTTAAATCATTTTGGCAGTTAGATGTTTACTGTAATATCAGGCAATACTTAAGCATTGCTCATAGTGCCATACTGACAGGTGTTGTCTTAAGTCTCCAAGTCTTAACCCAGTAACTGTTCTTTAAAATAGAAGCAGAATTATATCAAACTACCTTGCTAACATTGGATATATGGAAATATAAACAATTTGCCTACTATTTTGTTTTCTCATTTTTATACTGAGCATAGCAAAAGGAGTCCCGTAGGGGAAAACGATCATCTTCATGACCATTGTGATCATTTTGTCTATTACTGTTGCCTAATCCTCTTGTTACTTCATTCTGGGTGCTCTTAGGTGGCAGGAAGGTGCTCACCTGAGTTATCTTTTGTTAAAAAGGAGCATCAATTTATCTGAAAAGGGAATGAGCATTTGACCACTTACTAAGGGAAGATACGGTCTTTCTAAACTCTATTACTGATATCACTACAGTCAGTTACTAGAGGAAAAATCTGAATGTAGCGAAGGTGAACATCTTGCTGAAGTCCCAGGATTAATTTTATGAAAAGGATAAAAGTGTCGGTCTCCAAAGCTTGTTCTCTTGTTCCACCAGCGTGTCCGATGCCTCACACATGTTGTAACCGAGCAGGAAGCTTCCCTTAGCAGGCTTTGCTGCCGTGTCTTTATGGGTCAGCCAGGTTTCAAAAACGGGACACCTCTCTTACTCCTACCTGAAGCCCTTTCGGAAATAAAGCATTTGACTGACGCAGCCAGGGCCCCACAGTGACGGTTTGCTGTTATTTAAAATAATTTCTGCAAAATTGCGCTGTTTCTTCTCTGCTATCACACAGGGGCAGTGTTTTCAGAAGGCTTCTAACATCAGCAGCTGGCCTACATCTTTTCAAGTCTCACTGTGCTGTGAATGTAGGTTATTACTGTTTCTGAGTTTTGGTTCTATTTGGAGCCAATGGATTATGACATCTACATATCAGTGAACAATCTCTTTACATTTAACTGTCTGAGCAAATTTCAGCACAGGGGTCCTGCATTGTCCCCTCCAGCTTACATAGTGTCCCCTGGTCAGTTCAACATGCCTGGCACAGATTGAGATGTGCCTTTCAGGTTCTGGTTAGTATCACGCAGCACCTCCCACATTTACTGTTAATTCTTCTCTGCTTCCTACTCACCAAAGAGAGTTTAAATAAAGAACAGAACAATCAAATGATGATAAATGTGACTCGTAGGACATAGGTGAAAAGAAAAAGTAAAGTTTGGACTCGAAATGACAGATTTGGGGGGTACATAAATAGCATTACTTTCTAAGTGATGAGGAAAAATGAAGTTGGAGGTTAGGAAAGCGATCATTTTACGGTTTGTGTTTTTATTCAGCCTGATTTAGTAGGTTTCAAAGTGCTACCCAGAGGGTAGAGGCTATACAGAAATTAAATTGCATGTAAAGGGCAGGCTTTTTTGACTAAGCTTCAACCATGAAGAAATCAGATATTTCCTATAAGGAAAAGCCAATTCTTTAGGGAAGGATAATTGGGCCATTGCTATTTTCTCTTGCCTTTCCTATTTTAATACTTGACAAGACAAAAAGACTCATGTCACCTCACTAGAAAAATAATCATGAATACAGAAACACACTGGGGAAATATTTTGGTTTTTGAGTGGCTGTCTGTTTTTAACACATCAGCCACTGGCTCGTCCTGTCAAAGGAAAGTCATATAGTGTGAGGATTTATAGCTGTAACTTGGAAAAACTACTTAAAATCCCCAAAATGAGACTATAACCACTTTCTTTTCACAGAATGATCACTTCTAGTATTTGAGCTAAGATGTATTGGTCAATCAGCTTTTAAACCGTGAAATGATCTCAAATGTGAGGGAAAAGATGGTGAGAACAATGTATAGGAAGAGATGATTCAATGCCAGATTAATATTGAGTTTTCCAACAGGGCGTTTAGTTTGCTTTGTGATAGATTTTTAACAAGAGTTTACATGGATGTGCCCAAGTCTTTGTGATTTAAGGACTTTCAATCCAGTTCAAAGATCAAAGACAAGCTAGAACACTGAGTGACTCCTGAAAGCAGATCCGAGACACTCAGGTTGAAGGGGGAGGGGACAGACAGAGAGCAGAGAACAATTACTTTTGATTAATCTGTGGACTACTAATCTTGTTTGCAAATTACAAATTAAAGTACACGAACAAATAAAAAAGCACTAGTTAAACCAAATATCAATAATAGCTAATTAGAGCAATTATCATTTATTTAGGGCTTACTTTATGCTAATTGATTTACTTCTACTATCTCATTTAATGTCACAATGGGCCACAAGGCAATTATTATCTTCTACTTACACTTGGGGGGGCTAGAGCTTGAGAGAAGGTAAGTGGTTAGTCCGAGATCACATAACTAAAATGAGGTTGGGTGGGGATTCATCCACGGTGGTCTGACAGGACATGTGAATGTTCAGTGGCTAATTATATTGCTTCTGCTGGCAGCTCGAGCTTCTGCCCACCATTCCAGCATGACCAAGGAAAAAGAAAACCCTTACCTCACTGTTGAGTTTATTTATCTGCTGCTTCGTCTCCTCTGCTTTGATGAAAAGAACAGCAGCTCCCACCTCGGGGTCTGAAAAATGATACATGCAGAGAATAAGTCCCTTGATGAATTAACCTTATATTTGAAGATTGGGTCAATGGGAATTGGGAAAGGAGGTGGTGTTTTTAGTTCTAGCTTTTCTTGACGTTTGTACATTGTGGGCCTTTTCTCTCTGGCACTGGACAAGTTTCTAGAGCTCCTCTGGTTGGTGTTTGATACTCTTTGGAACCAGGAAGACATCATGGTGGGGACAGTGGTGACTGAGTGAGCGGATACATTTATGGTAAATCTCCCCTTCCCTTGGACACAATCACCAAGATGGCACATTTTTTCTTCATTGAACATTCTCTCAAATATATCAGAGCTAGCACCCAAGCATAGAAAAGGGATGTTCTTTCCCTCTTCTCTTTAATTTCCAAAAATTGATTCTTGTGCCTACAAAAGCATTTCCCTCCCACATCTATTTCAGGTGCTAATGCCCATGGCAGGTTTTCTGTCTCTTACTGTGTTGCTCTAAATGATAATTTCTCCCATTTCCTGCTTCTCTCATCTCTATTTTTTTTTTCTTTCTATCTGACTCCTGCAAATACATATATTTCTGTTAGGGACAAAAGTAGAGGTGAGTCACTGTTAGCTGGAGTGGAATTTGATTTCACTGCTATAGTCACATCAATAATGTATGGCCATCCTTAATTAACCAGAATGAAGAGAACAGTGGTATCTTAATTCTGGTTAATTACAGGTAGAAAACTTTGTGGGAGAAAATGCCACTTAAAACAAGCTAAAGTGCCCGAATAGTAAGAGCTCATTTTGTAGATATATTTTGTAAAGCAAATCCATTCTTTCAACAAGTGATTAGAGATCACATTCAATACACTGGAGCTCGTTTAGAGGAGACAACAATGAGTAGAGGAAATATATGACTCTTGTGGAGCTTAAGAGTCCAGCAGGGCAGAGAGACATTAAAAGATAAATTTAAAGCGTTTAGATTTCATTATAAGAGCAATAGGCAGCACCTCAGGGTTTTACGCATAGGAGTAGAGTAATAAGAATACATTTGCATTTTTTAAAAAGTTCACTCTGTAAGGAAAACAGTATGAGGCCAGAGGCTTAGGGAACAATGCAGGCAAGAGAGGACCATGGCAAGGGAATGGGTGGGACCAGTCAAACTAGAAAGTCCTAAATAGAACAGAGATACTTAGGCGATCGAGTCAAGAAGAATCGTTGCTTGAATGGGTGGTATAGGGGTAAACATTGGGAATATCGAGGAGAAGCCAGAGGGATGATGGGATCAAAAATAGGCAGTGGACCTGGTGAGGTTCTGTGCATTGTTTCCAGCCCCAGTGAGCTAACAAGGCAAGCCTCCAGGGGACCCTCCACCAACGTTCACAGCAGACTCTAGCACCAGTTTGATTGTGGTTCTTGCAACAATAAAATACTATTAGCACATGTAAGTCATCTGAATTAGGGAATCAAGGCTGTTGACTGACATCAGTACCCACCCATCTATGCCTTTCTTCCCTCCATCAAGGATTCTTACAAGGGCCTTTTCATTTCCCCAGAGAGCTGGGAAGTGTTGTTGATTAAATGGAATATTGGAAATTATATTCAGAAGTCTTTCTTGGGGTTGTCTTTGTCTAGGAAGGACGTGCTAATTAGCGGTTCTTCCTGACCCAAGGATCTCAGAGCTGGTTAGGAAGGGTGAGAGAGAGTCATTGGCAGATGTATGCCTCATACCAAGTAGTTTGCTAGTATTTGTTTAGGTTGCCTATACCTACTTAATACACTTGTTCATTATTCTCTGTCAACTATGTATGTATCTTTAAAAAAAAATTCCCGGCCATTTCTGCCCTTCTTCATGTTGGCAGATTCTTTTTGATGGTCAATGAACTCAGGAATGGAAAGGGGAGACAGAAACCTCTGCTAGATTTGGGGTGCCCTTGCATCAATTCACCCATCACCTGAAATAAATGCTTATTTATTTCCAACACTCTTACATCCTCCTGAAATTGTTTATTCTCTGACAAATTGCAAGTATATAACCTCTTAGCAAATAAATTGGCTAAATATAACCAATTTTCCTACAATGCACCATCAACACAGCATTTCCTGTGGTAATGTTTTTGTGGATTTATCTGTATTTACCATAGAAAAACATGGCTACCCTGTGGTAAATAGCAGAAATTTCAGTCTCCTGTTACACCATTTACCTGGGCTGGCAAATGGCAGGGCATTTAGCTTGGACAGAACAACAATTACAAATGATGTCATAATATTGTAGAGATGGCACAGACTCAAGCTCAATTACTGCATGGAATTGGTAAAGTTCTTTCTCATGAAGAATATTCTGAGGATGGGAAGGCAAAATAGGACCAAGCGCTACAAGTTAAAGAGAAATAGCACCCCTGAAAGAATTTAAATATAGACCATACCTCCAAGAGGAGGAGAAATTCTGGACTCTGGTCTTATTCTTTCAGAACCAAAGTCAAAAGTCTGACTTTCTTCGCTGCTGTTTCCATCTTCAATTCCATCAACAATCCTATTTAAAGTCAAGGAAATTGGTTAGTTGTGCATTTATATTCATGGATGACAGTATTTCCTGAAAATAAAATATGTTGGGCTAAGCTTCTCAATTCTGGTTATTCTAGAAATGTTCAGTCCAGTTTGGTAGCCATTCAGCATACTTGGCTGCTATGCACCAGGTAATGGCTAGTAATGCGAGCAAATTGAGATGTGCAAAATTCATGCTATGTTTCAAGATTTTAGTAAAGATTATTTACATTTGAAATAATATTGGGGCATAATGAATCAAATAAAATACATTAGCAAAATAATTTCACTACGTGTATTTTTTTACTTTAAAAAATATGATCACTAGAAAATTTATTTTTTGTTTTATCTACTTATTTATTATATTGATGACTAGAAAATTTAAAATTACGTATGTGGCCCAACTTATATTTGTATTGAATGTAAACACTTTATTTTCAGATTCAAAAAATCGTCAACTATAAAAATCCTCTTATCTAAACTCATATTCAATCATTACTACCCAAAATTAAAATATTTTAAGCTAATGACTATATCAATACAGAAAATAACCTTGATGCAACCTTCACTTTGTGCTCAGACAAAACTCTGAAGTGAGAGCTGAAGAATCACATTTAAGTTACTGCTAGAACTTTGGCTAGTCTTCTTTCTTTAGTCTCTACTCATACTAAAAAAGACAAGTCCACTGGAAAAGATGTAAACAAAAGGTAACAAAAATCAGAAAATCAAAACTGTCATCCATTACTACTGTAAACACAATCTTTGTTATGTGTAAAATAAATTTTTGTTTTAAGTGCAAGGTGAGTTTTACACAAATCTTTCTTTTCTAGCTCTGGTACATTTTCCTCCCATGTAACACTTACTGTCTTTCATTTTAGTGGACATTTAGGAAGAAGAGTTAAGCAATGCTTTCAAGTCATCATCACCAAATGAATTCCTGAACATTTGCTGTCTACCTACTTTTACTAAGCTTGTTTTTTTCTCCCTTAATGTATCTCAGAATGGAGAAATTATGTTCTTTAAGTGAATAATTAACATGTAGTCTGTCAGAAAGACCACTTGCCTTATAATTAGAAAAATAAAATTTGAATCCTGACTTTAGAACTTAACTTCTGAGATTTTGGACAAATCACTAACCTTCAAGTTTTACTTGTGACAACTTTAGAGTTCATGTGAGCTACTTTATAGAATTCCCAAGAAGATTAAAACAAATATTGAATGTGAAATGACCTAGCAGAGAACATGAAACGCAAGTAGTACTTGATAGGTTTTACTTGTTTCTGCTTATCTTGTTAGCGTGAACCATGCCTACTCCTTTTACATTGTCTAAGTCAGGTTATTTCATCTTCTCCGTCACCTTTAGTTGACTTGAGCGTGAATTTTTAAACATTAAAAACAAAGTCATGCCACCTATCGTGATGAATCAAATAGTGTGGAATATGAAAATCAGCTCTTCATTTCCCTCATAATTTTATGCCATTGCTTTGTAAACCTTTTGAAAGATCAACATTGAGGGGATACCATTGATGGATGTTGTGCTATTGCTTTTATTAATTTTTTAAAAAGATTTATTTTTAGCTGGGGTACAGGTCAGAGGTGCAGGGAGGATTCACCAGAGAGAGAGTGGGGAGCAGAACAGGCCGATCAACAAAGTACACCACTGAGGGGAGTAGCAGGAGAGACTGGAGAGGTCTGCCGCGCCATGTGGGTCACTTCCCTGGCCGGGGATCGAACTCGTGCTGAAATGGCTGTGGCTAGCTTCAAAGTCCTTCACTTTAATCCATTGTGCTCTTTTATTTTTATTTAAAATGATAAAATTACAATGTGAAAATTAAAATAGGCAGAACTAAGTGGATGAAAGGATTGAGAAGGAATTCTGAGAAAGGAATGGAGACTTCTGAGACTATGACTAAAACTATTCTCAGGTCACACACATTTTCCTTAGAATCAAAAATTATGCACAACATTTTGGAAAGCTGAAAATTTGCAAAGTCTAAAGGCCCAGAAGACTGACAAATCATTTATTAATCAGGCGCTAATCTGAGTAAAAAGCAGGAAGACTGACTGATATGATATTAATTCTTACCTTGGACTGAGGTCTGGGGGTCCAGCACTATTCAAAGCCGTAAGTTGCAATTTCAAGTTCTTCTCTTTCTTTTTACCATGGTGAGGAGGGTCATTTTCTTGTTTGGCCTTGGGAGAATTTGAACTGGAGACTCTAATTGGTGAATGAAATGGCACTGTTCCTGAGGCCAGCTGCTTCAAACTTAAGCCGAGGTAGCTTTTATTACTTCCAACCTTCTTGTTGCGTGAAGAGGAGGATCCCCTCGTGTAGATGGGAGAAAGGGAAGCTGTCTCCTCCTCTTCTCCTTCCTCTTCCTCTTCCTCATCTTCCACAATGGATGGGAGTCTCTTGTTGATGCTGCCATTTCCCTTGGGCTCCGACTAAATCAGTAGATAATGGGGTTATTACAGACAGCAGAAACCACCTGAGAGGTGTATCACTCTTGCTCGTGGCCCCACCTGAACAAAGTCAAATCCCTTAAAGACTTCTCATTAAATCTGAAGACTTGATACTATTCATACTGATGTTAAAAATCTCCCCATTTCTGATCTTCGTCACATTTAGCTTCTAAAGTATAAAGTCTCTAATACTTCTCTTGATCTTACTTGTAAACTCTCTTGGTGGAAAGGTGATTTGCATCTAATTTTTTACCAGCTTATCACTTGTAATAATAGATGATGAGATACTCTTAGGAATAAAATAATTTCAAATTTTAATGGAAGATGTTGGCCTACTTATTTTAAAGTTACTGGGTCTTCAGTGGAGATCAGCCAGTAAAATTTTATGATCCTTGGGAATAAAAACATTTCATGTTCTGGATCACATATAGTGAAATATCAGATATGTGTCTGCTTCCTGCTCAACCTATTCTCATAGGTGGGCTGGAAGTGAGGCAAACCTTTTGACCTGCTCCTCTTGAAGAGCCTTGGGAAAGGAAGGAGAAAGTATGCCACACCCACTCATGGTCCACTGGACTCTTGACTGGAGTCATTCAAACTTATAGGCTAAGAAGTAACGATGGGATGGGAAAGGACAAGGTGTTGATGGAGAGGCAGGATGGAGAGCACAGCGGACCCCCAGACATGGGTTTCATGCTCTGAGAGATCAATTAATATGTGTATCCTCAGTTTCTTTTGAGGACACAATCACTTATAATGGCCTATAGAAATTTCTAGTAAAAATAACAAATGAAAAGACCTAAGAGTACTATTTAAATCAGGAGATGTCATGATTATAACTCAATTTTGATAAACTATTGACACCATGGCTTACATGTATTTTACTGTAATAGCTATAGAAGTAGAAATATCCAGAATAAGAACTTGAACCTGGGGTGACTAACAGGCATTGACCAAACAATTTAGGCCATAGTTGCTAAGTAAACTTAAGCAATTTACTCATAAAGTTTTTTGTACTTTAATACAAACAACTCAAAATATCTTGAGGCAATATTAGACTCATTCCCAACTAGAGCTGATTATTTTAATAAATCGGGAAATTATTAATTCCTTATTATGATAGTCATTATTTGTTTACTACCACCTTTTAAAATTTTATGCTTATAACAAAAGTTGGACCCACATGGAATTGCAGGGGAACATTTATATACTTGTACTGTAGGATAAAAAACTTAACTCATCCAGCTAAAGAAACAACAGGGTATAACTCAAAAAAATGAAAAGCAATGAATTCATTCTCTAATTGGACTAATGTTTATATTTGCACTGACTCTTCTTTTTTAAGGTGACTCCATTAGCCCTAATAGAATCCTTTGACTAATAACCTAGAATGTTTGCACTTCTACAAGTTTCTTTAAATTCATATTTCCATTTGTCATGGAGACTTGATATCTTGGATAAGTTGCTTAGATACTGACTCGTGCTCAAGACAGCTGACATTGCTTCTAGTAAGAATTAATTATCCTACCTACTACATGGAAGAGCAAAAATGTAACTCCAAAAATTAAAAATAAAGAAATAATCCTAGCTACTATTACTGCAGACAGGACCCACGCTTATTATATTACTGAACACTCAGACTCAGAATAATTTTCTGTGCAAGAGTACTTGCTTCAGGCCACCTAGATAGAAACTGCTGTTTAACTTGGATAGCAGGATGTACCTTATGTATATTGCCAGAAAGCTCAACTACAGATTCTTCCTTCTTACCTGACTTAACTCCATTCTCTTCCTGAACAATGCTTCCATGATATCAATGAAGGTTTTTACACCCATCATCAAAAGCATCTCTAATTTAACTCATGACATTTTGGCAGGATAGTCATTCAAACTCAAACCTATCTTGACTAAAGGAGAAACTGAATAAAGTCTGCTGGTTGAGTGCAGAGACTTTTGGTGATACCATCCAGAGGACCTGTGGTTTACTAGCTATAGTGTTAGTCAAGTAATAGAATTGTGTAAAGTCTTGGTTTCCTCAATTGTAAATTGGTAATGTTGTGATAAAAATAATATTAGAGAATGGAAGTTACGTACTTTGTAAAATTCATTGAAAGTCCCTAATAAATGCTTAGACTTGTAATGATGATGATGATGATGAAGAAGAAAATAGAGACATTTTCATCATAGCATATTTACACTGAGCATCATAGCAGGTGCTATGGAGAGTGCTGATTATCTTTTTACATGATCTCCCCTTCTTTCATAGTTAACAGAACTCTTAATGCACCCTGTCCACAATCATCTTCTTCAGCTTTCCTTTCTACTTGGTTTGAACTGAGGTTAAATTTTGGCTTGATAATATAGAAAACCAATGGTCCTAAAATTCGAAAAATAAGAGGGTTTAAACCTCAATAATTTACTCTATCAAAGTAACTCTTTTATCATAGAAACTTTTAGGAAGACTCACAGTAAGAGGGAGATCACTGTCTTATTTTCTCACATTTCTTTGGTGTTTACCCTGAAATATGATAAGGATCTCCAGTAACCGTCTTATAGAATGAGGAGATCTAGAAGAAGGAAGCTAAATGTTGTGAATGATAAAGCAGAAAAAAAAAAAGCTTGGGATCTCATCAACACACTATTAATATTTGAAGTTGTCCACAAGGAACTCAAACTGGAAATCCAAAAGAAAGTCAAAACTCTTTTCATGATAAAGAAAATATAGAAGGAATTCTGGGGGAAAATGTAGAGTTTATGTACAATAGTGAAGAAAAGTTGAGAACAGTTGGAACATAAAGATCATTTTCTTGGTTCCTGAGGAGGGAATTTGTAGTGGCTAGGGAGAAAAGGTAACAAATACCAGAGAGAAATGTGGATCAAAGCACTGGGATGTTGTAAGAAGTTTCTTAATAAAATAAACCACATTTGCTCACTCATCAAACTATCTTTAGTAAATTATTAATTTGAAATGTGTTCTGTGATTGGATTTATTTAGGTGTCTCTGTGTGTATGTGTATGCACGGAGGTGAATGGTTGGTTCTGCTTCAAAGAGAGGATAGAACAAGAAAGGAGTTCTTTATTAGGTTCCTGTCATAGGATTCTCAGTAATGAAAAGCCTAGAATCACACCAGATATATCAGGTCTTTAGGAACATTTTCTGTGAAATAAAGGGCACTAAATATCTGGGATTGTTTGAAGAGCTCCAGTGAAACTACTTCAAGACAATCCCTGAACCATATTGTTTAAGTCATGGATAATCATGTCTCTCCATCAATTGGATGCTTACTGGCCACTAATTTTAGAAACTATAAAAGTACTCCTAAGACCAGTACCTCAAGACTGTGACCTTTTTAGATATTAGTAACAACTAAGACTGTGACCTTTTTAGATATTAGTGACAACTTACTTTATAGCAAAGATAGAGCTATAAGTTTCAATACTTCTGGATTTCCAAACTCAGGAAAGTTATTATGTCTTTTAGGAGAATTATGCTGAGTAACAGAAATATACAGAACCCTCTAGGGGAAAATAGATATATGGAAATTCTACAAATTGGAGATATATATTTGCTCTTTGGCAAAAGTCATACCTGTGAGACTGTAGATTTGTTTGATAATCTTGATATCACCTGAAAGAACAAACAAACAGAAATTGTGATGATCATTTAAACCTTCCCCACTGGGTGAGAACTGGAGAAATTGGCTTCTGAGGAAAGAGACAGAAGTTCAGAGTTCTGGGGGGTAGGGATAATGGGCCAGTGTGATCCAGTGAAGAGAAAAACACTTCCCTAGCAATACTGAAAATACCTTTCATGTCCTACCCTCTGGGATTGCTACTGTGCTACTGACCAGTGTGTGTGACAAACAAGAGAAGAGCAAGTTGAAAGTTTAGTACAGGACACCTAGGAAATAATGAACAAACTAGTGGACGTCTTGACTGTTTTTTATATTGATTATTTCATTCTTCTTGCTTTCCATCTCCCTATTCCTCTTTCTTCCCCTTGTACTAAATGCTCTCATTTTCCATGATTTTTTCCTCTATGACTCTGGAATCAAATCCAAGGGCTTTAAAAAAAAAACTTACTATCATTTCTTTCTGTTTCTTCTCCTTCCTTCTTACTTGGTTAGGATGAAGGTGATGTCTCCTTTCTGTGTCATTTTTTTCTACTCACTATGATGCTCCTGGTGGAGAAGTATTAAGTCACAAGGGACCCTACGGCCCTGCACACTTGAACTTTAAGATCCCGTTAATTGTAAAAGAGAAAAAAAGGCTGCCATCAGTTGTGATATGCTCAAGTGTAGACAGATCTCAATTTTACAGATGCCAAAGTCTGAAAACAAATATGTCAACTAAGCATGGATCTCAGGATATGTCTTGTGTAAAATCAAGCTATGGTGGTGTTGAGGGGTATGTGAAACAGCATGCACCCTCCATGATGTACAAGAAAGTTCAGGAAATGATATATCCTGGAAACACACTGCACATTTTTCTGCACATTTTAGCTACATTGTCTTTTGCTCAAGTATACTTCTTTTATTTTTAAAGTGGTAATAGATGCTATAAATTAACATAATTTTATTCACATGAAAAAAAAAAGTGTACTCGAAAATGATCTGCCTTGTAAGTGAGACATATTTGGCAATTCTGTCACCCTCTCACTGTTTTTTTCTAGATAATTAGGGAAATAGATCTGTTATTATTTATACAAATCTCGGCATCATTATTGCTGTGCAAATATATGTTTCATCAATGTTTAATTTTATCAAAGCAGTCAACCCATTCTACATCTGTTTAGTTGCCTAAATATGCATTAATCAGAAGTATTGTAGACATAAGTTTTGTAATAATTCCCTAAGTGGTGACAAATAAAACAGCTGAATAATTAAAATGTGAAAAATAAAACAAAATTACGGTGCTGTTGCTACTGTGGTAGACACAAAAATGTGTTTTAAGAAGCCTTTCAGTAGCAGCTTGGTAGAGAAAAGGCATGTCCCAGTAGGACGTAGGGGAGCACAGTGGGATTCAGAAACGAACAGCTTCCTGTCAGATGTCCCTTTGAGGTAGGAGAAAGGTGCTGATCTCAGTGTCTTCTCATTGGAGTGTGACTCTCAGCTCCTTGGGGTTCCTGTATGAGTTCTAGTAAGTTGCTGAATCCAACGTTGCTTTTTCTGTATCAGGACTTCTCAAAGTGTGTGCCAAGTGACTAGAATTGACTCTGTAGAACTTGCTACAATGGTTTATAGACCTCGCAGATCACAGGATGCCTTGAGGAAGATTCCTGAAAACATCAGATTCTAGGGTAGGTGGGATTCAGGTCTCCAGGTGAGGTTTGGGACCATTGATTTAGTTTAAGCCCTTTCCTTTGGAGATGTGGAAACTTCGACCCACAGAGACCAGATGACTTGCTCAGTTCATGCATGACATCATAACTCTCTGTGCTCCTTACACAGAACTGTGTTTTCTTATTTGTTTCCTCTAGTAGCCAGTGCTGTCTGGTGGGTTAAAGTCTATATGTTGCATGGATTTTAATGTGGCACTGATTTTAATGATTGCTACATGGAAGACCCCAAAATCTTGTGACACTAGATTACCCAAGCTCTGCTTGACTGTTTTCAGAGTCCCAGAACTTTATGGGAATTTCATGAAAAAAAAAAAAAAAAACCAAAAAACAAAACAAAAAAATGCATGGATATTTGTGAATGGAAAATCTCAGTCAGTTCCATTTTTTTTAGTTGTTCCAACAGTTAGAAAAAGACTCAAAGGTTTTTAAAGTTTTGAGAAATGAATTCTTATTCAGGATTGAGTCCTTTATACATGAATTTTTTTACATGGTTAGATAATTGGAAGAATTAGGAATCTTTAATGGGGATAATTTTAAAGGGACTGAAGTAATCAGAGGTTGGAAGTTCAAGGGGAAATAAATCAGACATAAGAGGAGGAATGGAAGTCATAGAAATCAAGTCTCAAGAGGGAAAGAAGGTGAAGGGTTGGCTCACAGTGACACTGGAATTGTACTGTCAGTCTGTCAAGACAGGAGAAGTCAAGTATGGATAAGAAGGGATCAGGATATTTCTTGGTTGTCTTGAACAGACACAGGCTTTATTTTTTGTGGACTGTGAGAGAAACACATTCTTAGCTATGGTGAATTGTTTTAAAAGTGTCTACATGGAGAGCCAGAGAGAGGAAAAATAGTCTGTTAGCATTCATATATCAGCAGCATAGAGGCAAATCAAATTCACAGTTTTTTTCAGATGATGGGAAGAAGGCCTCAAAATTCTACTACAGGAGTTGAATTGCAAATGGTAGTCAAAATAAAATAGATGTTAGGTTTGAAAAATGCTATTGTATTTTCTCATGTTGTCTAGTTTCCTGAAGCTATTTTTATGAGAGCTATCATAGGTCAACTGACATTGGCTGCCATTCAATTCATTTTCCACTAAGTTTTTAAATTCTTCAATAGTAAATTTTCTCCAGACTAGGATTTTCATGAATTTTTTTTTTTTAATTTGGGAGGGGAGCTCTTTTATTTCTTTCACCCATTGTCCCCATCCATTAAGATACCTCTGAATTATGACAGATGGTATTTTACTTGACAATAAAATTTGGGGCCTAGCCTTTCAAGAGATACTAATACCCCACTTTTTAGAAGGAATTCAAGTAGTTTTCCAGTAGTTGTAATGTGGAATCAATAAGCTCATTTCAAAAGACTAAACTACCAAGAAATTGGCTAGTATGAAACATGAAGAAATAATGTGAATAAAAACCACTCTGTGAGGAAGCCTACCTATAACCCAGGGTCCAGTGGTTCAAGGAAGGTAGGAAATCTATTTCCATCTTTTACTCTGTCCACAGGTCAGAATTATAAGCCCCCGTATAACTCAGCAAACGTCTCTCAACTATGGAATCACCTAAGACACTGAAGAACTCTGTAAGGGATGTTATCTACAGCTGATTGCTCAATTAGGAAATGAAATGTGAATTACAAGCCTCTTCTTTCTGACTGATTCGTAATATCCTCTGCTTTGTTAATAATGCCACATTGATTAAGCCACAAAGCAGATTGAAAGAACATGTGTCCTCATTCAGAAAAAGGGATTATCAAATATTTTATCTTGTTCACTGGACAACATTACCATAATTGGTGGCTGTTTGAGATAAAAGAGAATATTAATGAAAGATACTGACAAATAGCTTCATAACTCACATAGTTAAAATGCCTACTCTTACAAAAACAAGTAATTACCATGTAGTACTGGCAAGTAGCAAATCCATGGCTCTCATTTTTGTTTTAAAAAAAAAAGATTTATTTATTCATACAGAACTGGGGTACAGGCCAGAGGTGCAGGGGCAGTGAGAGGATTCACCAGAGACAAGAGTGGGGAGCAAACAAACAGACTGATGAAGTACACTGCTGAGGGGAGCCGGGGATGGGCCAGGAAGGGTCTGCCATACCATGTGGGTCATATCCGGGGCTGGGGTCTGAACTCACACTGAAGTGGCTGAGACTAGCTTGCAGTGTTGCGACCTTACCTGTTGCATCACCAGGAAGGGCCTCATTTTCATTTTTGATCTTTCTTCCATAGAGTCAAATGGCGGGCCAGTAAGTAGTGAATGACAGCAATGATGGGTGGACAATGGGAAGAGAAGTTGGACTCCACTAGAGAAATGACAGACTTTGAGCAAGGACGCATTTATCTTCAACTGCACAAGTCTGGGAGTGCATCACCATCTAAGCTCAAGAACAGAGCTCTAGGCTAGTCTGAAGTCCTATTGGATACCAGTTTCCATTGCTTCTTGTATAACTTAACAACAGAAATGAGATTTTAATGAAAAAACTGATGATCCTGACATTTTTCAATTTCAAGCTGAGCCTTGCGGTCAAGACAAACTATTGATACTGAGAAGATGATTCACTTCCTCTAGGTAAAAGCTATTGCTTATGATATAAAAAAGCATAGGTAAGGGCTCTCCCTGGTGGCGCAGCAGGTTAAAGCACCACATTATGAAGCTCTCTCAAGCCACGGCAGCTGGAGTTCCATCCCCCGTCAGGGTGCTGACCCACATGGCGCAGCAGACCTCTCCTGACCCGCCCCTGCTCCCCTCAGCAGTGTACTTTATCAATCTGCCTGTTCTGCTCCCCACTCTGTCCCTGGTAAATTTTCTCACCCACCACACCTTAGGCCTGTACCCCAGTTCTGTAAGCATAAATAAATAAATCTTTAAAAAAAAGAAGCACAGGTCAAATAAGGGGGTTCTAGGTTTACGGTATGCTGACAGCCAAAGCTGGGGAGTCAGCTATGTTGCCTCTAGTGTAGGAAGCACCAAAAATCTTGTCAGTGATGTGTCATGACAAAAGTCCTGTGTGTTGGGGGATGGGACCTATTTAGGAGGCAGGATGGTATTGTGGTTAAGAGCTGGACTTTCCCTAGTCCTATTATTCATCTTTTGTGTCTATTTTTCAGTAATCTTAAAGGTAGTTCATTTGAAAACCCAAGGTAAGACCTTAAATGACATTTCCTTTTCTATTTCATTAGCAATAACAAAAGTGCTTCTGTCTCTGTTCATTCACAGAAACTCTCCTGGATTCCTTCTGTTCAGACTTCTCTTCTGATGGAAACACATGATATT